GGAGCTCTGGTAGCATAGTGGCTAAGGCATTTGACTGCTAACCAGAAGGCTGGTGGTTCAAACCCACCAGCCACTCCTCAGAAGGAAGATGGGGCCAATCTACTTCCGTAGTGATACTGCCTCAGAAACCCAAAGAGGGGTTGCTATGAGTCAGGTCTGACTCCACGGCACATAACAACAACAACATAGTTCTTTAGCATAATTTTATTTGTGTGTGATATCAATGATATTGTTTGAAAATTCCCACATTCCACTGGCTCACCTTTCTTTGAAGAAGACAAAAACATGGGTGAGCTAGCTACCTTCCAAATTTCTTGGCACAGATGCCTGAGCATGTGCAGCCATTTGCTGAAACATCTCAACTGGAATTCTGTCATTTGTGGAGCATTTTTTTTTGCCATGGCTTTCAGAAAACTTTGGACTTCTTCCTTTAATACCATTGGCTCTTGATCATATGCTACCTCTTAAAATGGTTGAATATGGACCAATTCTATCTGGTACAGTGACTCTGTGTATTCCTTACATCTTCTTTTGATACTGCTTGCATCATTCAATATTTTGCCCAATGTTGCAATTTCAGTATTGCAAACTGAGGCTTGACTTCTTCTTCAGTTCTTTCAGCTTGAGAAATGTCAAGTGCCTTCTTCCCTTTTGGTTTTCTAACTCCATGTCTTTGCACATTTCATTATAATACTTGGTCTTCTTGAGCCTCCCTTTGAAATCTTCTGTTCAGCTTTTTTACTTCATTATTATTTCCATTTGCTTTAGCTGCTCTACATTCAAGAACAAATTTTAGAGTCTCTTTTGGCACCCATTTTGGTCTTTCTTTTTTTTTCCTTTCTTGTCATTTTAATGACCTTTTGCTTTCTTCAGGTATGAAGAATATCATCTCATAACTTGTCTGGTGTTCAGTCATTAGTGTTCAATGGGTCAAATTTAGTCTTGTGATGGTCTCTAAATTCAGGAGGGATATACTCAAGGTCAGTGTTAGTGAAAGAGCTCATGTACACAACTTTATACTGCATGCCAGTATTCATCTAGGTTTGGCATATTTAAGAGCCTACTAGGAGTTCTAGTAGTGTAGTGCCTAAGGCACTTGATTGCTAATCAGAAGGCTGGCAGTTCAAACCCACCAGCCACTCCTTGGAAGAAAGGTTGGGCAATCTACTTCCATACTGATACTGCCTCGGAAACCCAAGGAGGGGTTGCTATGAGTCAGGTCCGACTTGACAGCACATTACAACAACAACAACAAATACTCAAGGTCATATTTTGGCTCTCGTGGACTTGCTTTAATTTTCTCAGTCTCAACTTGAATTTGCATGTGAGCAACTGATGATCTGTTCCACCATCAGCCCCTAGCCATGTTCTGACCAGCGACAGTGAGCTTCTCCACCATGTCTTTCCACAGATACAATCAATTTGATTCCTATGTATTCCATCTAACAAGGTCCACACGTATAGCCACCATTTATGTTGATAAAAGGAATTTCCAATGAATAGGTTGTTGGTCTTACAAAATTGCACCATACAATCTTTGGTGGTGTTTCTATCACCAAGGTCATATTTTCCAACTGCTGATCCTTCTTTGTTTCTAATTTTTGCATAACAATCACCAGTAATTATCAATGCCTCTTGATGCATGTTTAATCAATTTCAGACTGCAGAAGTTAATAAAAATTTTCAATTTCTTCATCTTCGGCATTAGTGGTTGATGCATAAATTTGAGTAATAGTTGTATTAACTGTTTTTCCTTATTGTTGTTGTTATTTGCCATCGAGTCGGCCCCGACTCATAGCGACCCCTCCTTGGGTTTCCGAGGCAGTATCACTACGGAAGTAGGATTGCCCAACCTTCCTTCCGAGGAGTGGCTGGTGGGTTTGAACCACCAGCCTTCTGGTTAGCAGTTATAGGTATATGGATATTATACTATCACTGACATCGTTTTACTTCATGACAGATCTTGAAATATTCTTTTTGATAATGAATGTGATGTGTTCTTCTTTGTCATTCCTGGCACAGTAGACCACATGCTGTCTGATTCAAAATAGCCTATACCAGTCCATTTCATCTCACTAATGCGTAGGTTATCTATCTTCAAGCATTCCATTTCAGTTCTGACAACTGGTAATTTTCCTAGATTCATACTTTGTACATTTCACATTCTGATTATTAATCAATGTTTGCAGCTGTCTCTTCTCACTTTGAATCACAAATTTGCCACAATAGCAAATGAAAGTCCTGAAATTTTTGCTCCATCCATATCATTAAGGTTGACTCTATTTTGAAGAGGCAGCTCTTCCTCACCCATATTTTGAGTACCTTATAACCTGAGAGGCTCATCTTCTGGCACTGTATCAGACAATGTTTCACTATTATTCATAAGGTTTTCACTGGCCAATGTTTTAAAAAATTTAGATCATCATGTCCTTCTTTCTTGTCTTAGTCTAAAAGCATTACTGAAATCTGTCCACCATGGTGACCCTGCTGGTATTTGTAATACCGGGGGTGGTACAGCTTCCATCATCACAGCAACATTCAAACAAACACAGTATGACAAACTGACAGGCAAGTGATGGATGATATATAATAAATTATATAAATTTGTTATTTGATCAGTTTTATTCTGGATAGTGTAAAAGTACAGCATTTAAAAGAAACAAAATAATTTATTTTCAAAAAAAAGCATAAATAGTAAAAATGAAAGCTCTACATAATTTACATGGAGAAACACTGATATTTTAACAATCTGTAGGTCAAAAACACACCATTGCCTCTGAGTTATGTCCTCAATGGAGCCACTGGGAATCTAGCACTAAAAGTGACACCAACAGCAACCACAAGTCAAGGAAACATACAAATGGGAAAGAAGAAAAAGATGCTAGACTACTTTGAAAATGTTCTCTCTCAAGCTCTTTTTGCCTAAAACTTTCCCATACTTCTAAACACTATCAGACTTACTTAAAATGAAGCAGCTGGCACACATGTCAT